ACACACACACACACACACAATTTAAAAAAACCAAAACACCAAAACAAAAAATCCTCAACCAAAAAAGGTTTATATAAATCTTTGCACTCATTTTTAAATGTATAGAAAGGGAATACTGCTAGACTAAAAGGCAAGGTATTTATATTTTTGAGACATTGCCAAATTGCCTTTTAACACGATTTTAACATAATTTACTTGTACACAAACACAAAGAAATAACTTGGTAAAGTTGTAAGAAATAATATTCAAGTAGCTATCTGCTTCCATTTCCTCATTTGAAATTTTTTTTCTAATATTTAATGAGAGGGCTTTTTTCCTAGCTTTGAAATGTTAGGTTTAACATGGCGGACAAAGCATTATTTTTTAAAAATCATGCAAATGAAATGTCCTTCTATCATATTGCCAGAAAACAAAGCCATGTGCCAATTTGTGTGTATCTGTATATACGAAAGAGAAAGCACGCGCGCGCACACACACACACACACACACACACACAAATATAAAAAATAGCTAAGAGATTAAGTTGATTGGCAAGCCAAAGTTGAAAAGCACTCTTTTCTAATGATTTTACTCCAAGTACTTAGTATTGTGGTTATGAAAAACTGAGTCACCTGTAAAAAGAATTACTAGAAAGTACTAGGAGTTATGAACCGTTAATTGGAGCAACTGCAATCCCAAATGGAGTTGACTTTTGGCCCATACCCTTTTGACTGCTGGCTGAAAGCTGTCTGCATCTCTCAAATTCCCATCCACATTGCTGGGCTCATTGTTTTGTTCATTTTGTGCTTCTCGTTTCCTGAGGCCAGCTGCCAGGACCATGGCGCTGTGATGGTTAAATCTCTTGATGATGGCAGCATTACTATTTTCCTTTATAGATTTAGATGAGTTGGAAGCAGATGGTACAGAGGAAATGCCATAGCCCTATGAAAGAAAATTCAGATAAAAAAACCAAAATAAGGTTCTAATTTTGTCTAAGTCTGGTTGAAAGGCTTTGCTGCTTGAAATATTACTAAAGGCTTACAGGAATGTATTAAAAAATTAAGAGACATTTTACATATCAAGGAAATATCACTTCTTTTAGCATCATAAAACCATTAATATTAAATTGTACATTTTTCTTCTTATAAGTACTGGTTTATTGAGTAAAACATTAAGTGAAGTACAGTAATACAAACAAAAAAGCAAAAACAATCATGGACTATAGAGTCAGAAGATAGGGATTCACATTCTGGCTCTAACACACTAACACAAACTTGAAGTCAGTCCTGGTAACCCCATGTGTCACAGAGCACAAATGCTGTAAAGAATTTCTTCAGCTGTAGCAGGAACACAAAAATACAAGCAGGCCTGTTTTCTGGGGTACCACTGGGTAGGACTGAATTGCTATTAGGCTAGCAGGTGTACCACATAAGGACCTTACTATCAGTTTTATAAAATGGGATACTGAAGAATGAACTATTTTTAAAATAAGCACTGATGCACAGTATGCATTAGGCCCTAACATACAAAGCTGATGAACATCTTACACATAGAAACTTAAATTGTAATTACTGAGAAGCTAGGAAGTTAGAAGCTAGGAAGTTAGAGGTTTTATCCATGTGGTTCTACTTGAAAAGAGAAAGGTTAGGAAAACCTGTTTGAGTGCCATCGTATGGGGTTTGTCAGGCAGGCACAGTTCAGGGAGGGGGGACTGGTTAAGTATGGAAATACCCACTACAATCCCAGAGGTATGCGGTTCAAATCCACCAGATGCTCTGCTGGAGAAAGAGGGGGCAATCTCCTCCTGTACCAGTCAGATCTGATTTGACGGTACACATAAAAATAATACAATAAAAATTAAAAAAAAAAAAAAGTATGGAAATACCATGTATTATTGCCTCATAGCTTTTAATTTTAATACAGCTGAAATGAAAGGTGGGTCAAGGATAAGTGAGACAGGTATAAAAAAGATGATAAAAAGAACTCAAATGGTATTCGTTAGTTTACAGATATTAAATGTCTAACTTATGGCATGTGCTAGGAGTGTACCAATAAGAACAAAGTTTGCTTTATTAAACTTGGATTATACTGAGAGAATACTGATAATTATGGAATAATCAAAGACTCCCTTCTAAAACACATGAAGATGAGATGGTAAAAAAAAATTTAAATGGAAAGAGCAAGCAGACAGCTGGATTCAGGATTCTGGAGCTCTGGGGTTAAAATAAAAATGAAAACAAAAACCAAAACCACATACACCATCAAACTTGTTTTCAAGTGGCTTCTGACTTGTAACAGTGGATAGGGCAGAACTGCCTTGTGGCCCTTTCAATAGTGTAAACTGTCACGGAAGGAAATCTTTCTCTCTTGGGGCAGCTGGTAGGTTAAAACTAACCTTTTAGTACCTGGTTGCTTTAGGATTTGTAGCAATCCTATAAGATAATTCAGTGGTCAGGAAGTGTGAGGATGGCACAGGGTTCAGATCTGTTGTTCACAGGGTTGCTATGGATTATACTCTACTTGACAGCATTTAATTATATTGCTATTTTATATGTTAAATGAAATAGGTTATAGGTTAAATAAAAGGTGAAGAATTTAAGTCAGACAGCTTTTCTTCTTTGTATTTAAAAAATATAGACCAAAAGCACTGGGGGGAAAAAATTCTATGGTGATAAGTTTCATTTTCTTAGAATGATTTGGAAGATGTTTATAACGTGTTGAGGTTAATCAGAAGATATGACTAAACTCCATCAAGGAAATGATTCACCTGAGCACCAGGGATTATACTAGTTTTCTCAAGGGTGGGGAGAGAACAAGCATGATTACATAACCAGCAGCATAAAAGCCAAATGAAAGGTAAAAAAATGAACACATGAGAGTGAAGAAACAATGGACAATGGTAAATCCACAGCTAGGAGTTAAGATGCAGGAAGCTAATTAGCCTCACAAAGACCACTTCTTTCCCCTCTCCCCCATAAGTATCTGTAGGTCTATAGTATAGAATTTGTGGTGGCTCACATTTGATGGTCTAGCTGATGAAAAATAATGGAGTTAGCATGGAATAAGGGTCACCAAAATATGACAAAATAAAAGTTTCCCTTTCCTTTTTAACTGATACTTATTTATCTTTCATTAGATGAAATGTTAGCTAGAGGATCAAATTGGACTCATCACCAAGCTATTTTCATTATAATCTAAAGATGTGTTGATAAGAGAGGCAGTAAATTTACATTACAAAAACTTCAACTCATACTGTGCTCAGCCTGCAGTTGTGAGAATAATTAAGACTTGGAAGAATGTCCAGGATTTCCTCTGAAGGCACGTTTAATAGTAAATAATGCTGCTGAAAAGACTACAGATAAATGACTATCAATAGTATTCTGCTTGCTTTGCAATTTGACAAGTGTAACAGGTGGATGTATGTCAATTTTAAAATATAAATCTAGTGAAGATGAGAAATATTTCCTCTGACAAATACTTCTACTTACCTCATCTAATGGTTTATCTTCCAAAGCTGTCAAATCTAATAGTGGGTTTTTCACTCCCAATGAAACCATTGTTTTTAGTCCTAGAAAACCAAGAAAATAAAAAGGTGATTTAATTGTTCTTTCAGGAGTGGGGGGAAAACCCCAAACCCACATAAAAAAACCCCAACAAGATAAATAAACAACACACAAACAAAAATCAAACACAGTAGCAGCTCTGTGATGACAAAGTTTAAAGAGTGTACTAGGATAGAGAATTACCTTTTTCATCTATTTTGGCACATTCTGCAAAAAGGTCCTTTGACCCTGTATTCAGTCGATCTCTGTGAAAATAATGGGACTGGGAAAAACGTGTCCAGAATTCTTTTTCTGTCATATTGTGGGGAACATTTTCTGCATATTTCATTTTCACTATGGAGGAAAAAACCCCAAAGCCAAGAAAACACATTAGTCATATAATGAATATCACTTAAAACCCCTTAAATCAAACAACTAAAATACAGACCAACAGCTAAAACTAGATTATGAATCTGTACCACTTTACATATAGGATCATATAATTGGGTACTACTAATATAAACTGTAATGTGACAGATCATGCATGCATGATATACTGCCTCTATGAATCTTTAGAAATTAGAAAGAAAACTCTACATTGTATCAATTAAAAGTTTAGCAGAATTTTTAGTAGTTTATTACCATTTTTAATAGAAATAGCAAAAATCTGTGAGTCAGAAAGAGCTGATTTTGTGTATATGGTCATTTATGTACGTGATCTCTCAGGTCAAGGCACTCTGTCAGGTGCTGGAGGTATAAATATTATAATACTCAGGCCTGCTACCCAGAAACTTAAGTCTCCGGAGTATAGCTTAAAATGCCAAGTTTATGGAGCCAGAGTATCTGAGTTTAAAATTATAGTATGATCACTTACTATAGGTGTGACCTTGGGTACATTACTCTTTCCACCTTGATCAACTCATCTGTAAAACAAGGGTAGTAAGCATACCTCCTCTGCAGAGTTGTTATGAGGATTAAATGAATTAATAATGCACAAACCCCTTAGAATAGCATAGACAATCCACTGCCATAGCGCTGATTACAACTTATTAGTGACCCTTTATGGGGTTTCTGAAACAGTGGAAGGGGACTGACAATCTTTCTCCTATGAGTACACAGTAAACTGGAATTGTTGACCTTTCAGTTAGCAATAGACATATGCACTATGTCACCAGGGCTCTTTTTAAACATGTTGTGTATCACAGAGTTGGAAGTGACTCATAGCTGACCCTCCAGTGTGTTTTCAGAGGATATAAATAAGAAAGAAAGAGACTGTCCATCTTTCTCCCATGAAGCAGCCAGTGGCTTGAAATGTGTGCCTTAAAAGTTGGCAGTACGCGACTTGCAGCAATGAATCTGTTTTTTTTTTTA